TCGCCATAAAGTGACTAAAAATACACACAAAAATAGCAAGAATGGACAAAGGAATATTGTAAAGGTTTGCAGACATCAATGTTTTTAGCGATAAAATTGTTTCTAAACTAAGTGAGGGGTTTATTTTACTATTAGAGATCGAGACAAAGAGACTGTCAACAAAACAAGATTGCAAAAGAACACTCATCTGTAAAATACAATATCACTCCTAGTCATAGTTCAGTTGAAATTGTAGTTTGATGTAAAAATAAAGCACAATTTCAAAAATTCACTGTTGTCTCGAGCAACATTGATCGCAATGAATAATGGTGAAAAATAGCGCCCTCCAATGACAATTACGTCATTGTTTTGAGACCAGCACAGGTTCTCAGAAGCTGCTCGTTCACACCTTTTAACAATAGCACTTCCTAACCTAGTAGAGTGACTGTGATTGCATAGTGATATGCCATCTTTGTTGACACTTCCAGTCATCTTTGTTGACACTCAGTCGACCATCTTTGTTGACACTCAGTCGGCCATCTTTGTTTACACTCAGTCGGCCATCTTTGTTGACACTCAGTCGGCCATCTTTGTTTACACTCAGTCGGCCATCTTTGTTGACACTCTTCCAGTCATTTTGTTGTCATTTTATCTATCTTTGTTGGCACTTTCATTATATGTATGTTGTCTCATTTAGCTATCTTTGTTGATTCTTTCATACATCTTTGTTGCCTTATTTTTGTGACTTTATGGTTTTTGATTTCAAATGTAAAACTGAAAATTATTGATGAATCTACATGTATGTAATTTCCAATTACTTGTACATATATACACTCATCCCATAATAATCTTCAACCTATTAATCTTATTTTAAATTAGAAAATCTTTTAATCATAGATAATGATAGATTTCTGATAGATACCTGAATGAAAAGTTAATTACAAAGTGAAATAGCTAACCTTTTTATTTCCATGGCAACAACAATATTCTGTTTCCTCAGTGACGGACATTATGGCTAACTTTATCATTTCTATGGCATTAGAGGCCTTAAACCTTGTACATTGTATCTATACTATGTTAACATTATGGATCTCAACAAATGAAATTTAGATGATGAAATCACAGCTGTGTTTTAACTTTACATTTCCAATGATTACCAAACATTTTACAAAATTAAAAGGATGAATTTGATGGTGTTTAAAATAGTATACAGTGTTTATAACATCATTGCAGATGTGAAATTCTCTCAAAATGAATCAGCTGATTCCACTGCTACTAAAATACACTGAAGTAAACCAGACTAGGATTGAGACCAGGAATAAACTTTGGTGAACCCGTGACCTCTTTAAAAAGGCGATGTTATACCATATGTATGTTACTGTAGTACATATTGAAATATTTCATTCCATTAACTTGACTCTTCAAAATATTATTTTTAACCCATACATATAGATATTATTATCTTTGTATTTTGAGAATGGCAAATAATATTTCAAATTCCAGTGATTTTCAATACGAATGTCATGTGTGTTTGTTTGCGCTAATTACAGAATGACAGAAAAAACTAATTGACAACAAACTCAATTTTGTAATGCTTATTACCGGTATTACTCTTGCCAAATTGGTTGTATTATAATAATTTAATCTTTCTTAACAATAAGTAGTTAGTTGAGCTGTATAAACTATGATACATGTACATCATAATTACAGATGCTGTTTGTATAACAGTTAACCAAAATGAATTGAAACCCTGTAAATGCAGCACATTCGATCAAATAAATTAAAACTCAATTTAAGTTTTGCATGATAAGTTTGGTATAATTATGTCTCCCATTGATTTATAGTCAATTAATTTTTAATTTTTCAAGATAGGAAGTAAGAAATCATTGTCTTTTGCCAGAGCTGCTGCTCAAGCCAAGGTAAAATTATCAAAAGTTTATAAGGCAAATGTTTAGTACTGTACTGTATATTAATATACATCTGTCACCGTAACGCCATAAGTTACAGCGTGCCGTAATTTTGCGGTATTTTACATGGTATTTTCATCCTACCATATTAGGAAATGCGAATTCCAAATATGGAATGATTATGTGCGTAAGCGTCCTCTAATAATAAAAACAAACATGGCTGCCATCAGGGTTTGACTGGACTCCACACAAAGAAGTTCGCTGATTCTGTTCTAAACTTTTTGGATTTTGGCATTCTCGTGATGTATCATAAAGAGAAAAAGTTGTATAATAATAAGTTTGTTACGAGGATACAGCAAAGTATGCACTCAGACAGTACACCTTCGCATCAACCTCCACTGCTCGTCAGTCGATACTCCCGCTGTACTGTCTTCATGCATACTTTGAGGTATCCTCGTAATAACCTCATATTATATATAAATTTTACAAATTCATTTTTGGTTGAAAGTAATAAAAGGAAAGGTAACAAGCAAATGTCACCTATATCACAGAATGTTCTATGCTTCATAGACTCGCACCACTATGCCATATTTTTCTAGGATCTCTGCGAGCTGCTATGGAATGCTGCTCAATTAGTTGGTGAAAACCGCTAAAGTCGAATAAACAGTGAAACTCAACTTTGAAGTGATCCCGAGCAACCAAATTTATATATGTTGCACATATAGGGGTATAATCTTGTTACACTGCTTAGGGGAGTCTCAACAACCAACCAAAAGTGCATTTTTATTTGAACTTTCAGTTGTTATTTTTACTGGTTGTGGTAGACAGGCAATGAAAATGTCTGAATATTCACCCCTGAGAATAGAATAAAACCTTTAGCCATATTACATGTAAGTGGTAAGTGATGGGGAAAATCATGTTGTGCATGTAACATCATAATGTCCTAGAATAGATTTAAAAACAAAACAAAAAAACAATAAACTGACAGCAGTGAACATACATGTACCGGTATGTACATGTACTGTGTGTACCAGAATTATGGTTGAAAATTAATATTCACCTAACTTGTACAGCTTAGTGAATAGAAATAGTGTACTACATGTACATGTATATGGAGTGTATACAAAAGGACATAAGGCAGACTTGCAACTATTGTATGAGACAGTCTCTCAATAAAATATTT